AAAGAAAGAAAAAAAATAGAAAAGCTTTGAAAAAGAATAACAAAAAGAGTATAGAATAATGTTATGTTGAATAAGTGATGTGTGTTGGTTTGAAATTTGGGACGAAGAAGAAGTTTGATTGAAATTATATTATTTTAAACTTTGTGGAAACAATTACTCCCTAAGGTTTAGGCAAGTTTTTGTTTCAATTAGCTTTAGGACTTATCACTTGTTTGTTAACCAATCCACATTACAATCTTGAAAAGCCCTTGAGATTTTTGCTTTTATATTTTCAATGTAAATTTTCATATGAATGCATAATTTAGTATATTGTTTGCAATATTGTTGGATGAGTGAAAATACCTCATTTTTGTGTGTTTTTCATCTACCGATGATTGTGTTTGCTAGGTGTGATTTATTCATGAACTATTATTGTTTTAGAATGTTTGGCATAATTTTTATATTTAGCATTTGTTTCGTGTTTATGTTATAGTCGTAGTTTAGTGGTAAGTATTTACTTTGTGTGTACTATTTTTTATTTGAACCATTGCATTTGTTTTCTGTTTTCAAAACCTGTTGATTCGTGATTCTTTGATTATCGTCTTTTGCTTCTTTAAGTTTATTTGACTTTGTTTGGGTACAAAAAATGTTTTAAGTTGGGCAGAGTTTGATGAGTTCTAACTTGTTGTGAATTTGAGTATTAATAATTAGCACTCATCGGCTTAGTTCATTTGCTTTTTGTCAATAAATCTCAACTTTAGTGTATATTCGGTATAGTTTACGTTATAGTATATTTATTGTGTTATCGTGTAAATATCATTGAGTTTAATTGACTTTATCTCATTTTTATAGGTATCCAAGCATTAATATTTAGCCATTTTTAGATAGAGCATTCAATAAGCTTTCCAACACTTCCGACCAGGCGCGAATCGGAGTTACGGTTCAAAAGTTATGGCCGAAACAATGCAGAATGTTGTGCTAATTTTTTAACTTTTTGTCATCCGTCATCGGGCAACGCTTTTGGTCGTCGGGCGATGCTTTTTGGTCGTTGGGCGATGCTGGACAATCAAAAATGCATATTTAGGTGTAAAAACACATTTTTTGGATATGGTTTTGGGTATTTTTTATCCAAACTCCATCAACCTTCATTTTTGGATATGATTAGCTTAGAAAACAACATTGAAGCTTGCATACGGATGATCCGGGTGGATTGCTCATCAATTAGTGCTGACAAACCGAGAGATCTGTGGTTCATTTCTCTTCCGCTTTGTGTATTCTTTATGTGTTGAGTTTTTATATGTATTTACTCTGAACTTATGTATATTTTCTGCCTATGGCGTTATATTAAACTTTATTTACAAATCTTTGTCGATTATTATCTTAGATTTTTGCCTTGTGTTAGGGATTTGAGTTGTTATAGACATATACTACTTAGATTCTTATCTAGGATGATTATCTGTTAGTTTCTGAACTCTAGATATAGATTTAGAGCTGGAATCTACTTGGGTATCAGAGCTTAATGCCTCTGTGTGGTTGTGCTATGCTTAGAGATCGTCAATGCGATTACATAAGTTGTCTTATGTGTTGTTGAGGGGGTAGAGAGATCATTTTCTTGGTGATACAGTCGGTCTCTCAATTTGGGTTAGAAATAACTTACATTGTGAGTGATACATAGTGACGCTGATGAGTATTGTAAGGTGTAATATAACTGGTCGGTAGATTTAAGTCTGTGATGAGTAGATTATATGCAGACTGGATAAGTTCTTCCTTAGTTTTTACTTTTCTTTACATTTATTTTCTGTTGATAACATTTTCTTTACAAACCCATTTATCCTCAAACTCATTAACGAGAGATTTGTCAGACGACAATTCAATAACCAATCTCTGTGGACACGATAAATTCCCGGATAAATATTTCCAAAACTTTTGTTGCTTGCCACTACACCGCTTTCAACAGAAATATAGTTTTACTAACGAAAGATGAAGTTTGGAGGAAAAATTAGTTAAGTTTAGGGCAAAGGCGAGTGAACGTATAGTTTTTATAGACAAAGCGAGCTAACCTTTACCCACAGTTGGTAAAACAAACCGAGGTGAAAATTTATTTCACTTTTTTTATTTTAAATTAAAATATGAAGCTCTTTCTGAAATGGCCCTTTGGATTGGCTGTATTTTTGCAAACAACAACATTGAGAAGTTTTCAAAGTATTCAAGTTGATCTAGCTTGCTTAAGCTTTATGAAACTATGGAAGGGACACATGTTGGACACAATATCTCAACATATGTTACGACATATGGGCCTTGCTTAACAAGGCATTACTGCTGCATTTTGAAGATTCTTTGGTCAAAGATTGGATCAGATTTTATTCTTATTGATTTAACAATATGATTAGGTGATTTATTTGATAGCTGGATGAAGATTGATTCAAGTTTAAATGGAGATTTACATTTGAATTTAAATTAAAACAAATCATATCTTGTTGGAGAGATTTAAGGAACAAATAATATCCAATATATTTTGCATCAATTTTGGACGAAATCAAATCACATATCCATGAGGAAATGCCCATAATTATTATGCTATATAAGGAGCTCAATACGTACATTGGAAGCCAAACAATACAATGAAGAATTAGAGCGTTAGGATTTGCATTGAGTCCTTGTTATTGTTGTATGGACTCATTATGTTTCAGTAACTTGACATAGTAGTTTTATCTAGAGTTGAGTGGTAGTATTCAACATTGATTATTGAGTTGTAATATACAATCACAGGTTGTGTGATTGATAAAGAAAGTGAGTAAGTTCTCTTGTTTTGGGAGAGACCTAAATAGAAAGTCATTGGGTAGTGTTAGTAAAAGACATTGAACAGTATAAAGTTTGTTGTTTCTTGTAAGACATTGTACTAAACTACTAATATTGAATTTCCTTTCTTTGGTTGTTGACTCAACCCTCCAGACGTAGGTGTGTTTTCGCTGAACTGAGTTACCAATCATCGTGTTATTTATTGTTTTTATGCTCCATTATATTATGTAAGTATTATTGTCATAATGGTGTAACTTGTTGGACTAGTTGTTCTAATATCGTGTACAACATATGTCCAATGATAAACATAATTTCAATTGGAATCAGAGTAAGCACCCTAGCATGTTGGGTGAGCTCTAGGGAAGGTAAATTATGCTCAAATAGAGACAATGAATGATAGTGGATCAGTCAACAAACCATCCGTTTTGGATGACACCAACTATGACTACTGGAAGTCAATGATGATTGTCTTTCTAAAACCCATGGAGAACAAAGCATGGAAATTTATGTTGAAAGGATAAAAATATCTAGTGGTTACTTCATAAGATGGTATAACTAAGTTGAAACCAAAATAGGATTGGAATGATGATGAAGATGATGAAGATCTCGAGAACTCCAAGGCTTTGAATTCCATTTTCAATGGTGTGGTCAAGACCATGTTCAGGTTGATCAACTCATGTTCATAGGATAAAGAATAATGAGAGATTCTCAAAACCTCACATAAAGGCACATCCAGAGTTTGTTGTCAAGACTGTAGATCCTTACCACCAAGTTTGAGAATCTGAGGATGAATGAAGATGAATCTATCAGTGAATTTCATATCAGATTGTGTGATATTGCCAAAACTTTGTTTGGTTTAGAAGAAAAGATGTACAAAGAAAAGCTTGCCAGGAAATTTTTCATATTATTGCCTAAGAGGTTTGATATGAAGGTGACTTTTATTGAAGAATCTCAAGACCTGAGCAGCATCAAGGTTGATGAAATCATTGGTTCATTATAAACCTTAGATATATCCATCAATGATATGGATGAAAAGAAGAACAAAGGAATATCCTTTGTTTCCTACACCGAGGAAAAGGGAATTCAAGATGATAAAAAGAAGAGTGTGTCAGATGCTATAACTCTTCTTTGGAAAAAGTTCAATAATTTCTTGAAGTATATGGACAAAAAGTGGAGGACAAATGTGCAAGACAAAAGGTCCAACATCATCCCCCAAATCAAAGGCAAGAGTGAAGATGAATCTAATGGTGGAAAGGGTACTTAGTGCTATGAATTTGAAGGATATAGACACATTAAAGCATAATATCCTACATTTCTAAAGAGACCGAAAAAGGGATTAACCGTCACTTGTTCTGATTTTGATATTGAAGGTGAGGGAGAAACTACCAACAATGTTATGGCTTATTCTGGAAGATGTGAATCTCCTAGTGTATCCAGTATTGAAGACTTGTCTGAAGAAAAGTTTGATACATCCTTCAGTATCTTGCATATAGTGGAAAGAAGCATGCTTAAGAATAGACATCCAAAAGAAAACCATTGGTGGACTTTAGAAGGAATCAAATAAACTTGCATCAACCATCACAAGTGTAGAAAAAGAGATTTCTCCACTAAACTCCCTAAATAGATAATTTGATACAATTGAAAAGAAATATGAAAACTAGCTTAAATCCACTATGTGGAACAATGTAGTTTAGAGAGATGTCCAGTGATATAAAGATAATAGATCTTGGGACGAGCATGAAAGAGATGAAGATTTCCTCAAATAAAGTTGTTATACCTGAAAGAAGACTAAGGTTCTAATGTCAGACCACATGTCTCAGCATTGTGTTAAACATGCGTCATCTCATCACTATAGTAACAAAAAATAGCCTTTGATTTGTCACCAATGTGGTAAATATGGACATACAATGCCTTATTTTTTCAAAATGTTGAAGCTAAAGATAAGAGGACGGAAGGAAGTCCATCCTAAGAAGAAGTGGCAACCAAATGCTACAACATTTGACCCCATTTCTCATACAGAACACACAGGTTCCTCAAGTAAAATTTGGCATTTTAATAGTGAGGGTACCGGGAACATGGCTAGAGATAAGACAACTCATGGAAATCGTGAAAAGGAAAGAATCAAGGGCTCAAGGAAATTGGTTAATCTCGGTTAAGAAGAGGTTGCACTGAAGAGGAGTTTATATACGAATGTGAACCAATTGTGTGATCAAAGTTGGAATATGAACGTCAACAAGTCTAAACATTATGTCACCAACAAAGGGAAAAAAGTTTTTATGAAGAAGGTCATATATGAGGAAGACATTAGGAGTTTACAAGACCTCGGGATTGATAAAGCTTCTATGTATGAAGAGGAAAGATCAACCAAGATGTCAAAAAATATGTTCCAACATCTTGCTCAGAAGTCTGAATTATCTCATGAAGATTGGGTCATTGAAGGGAAGGCTAATGGTCAGACTGGAGGTCCTCCAAACTTTGAACAACCTACTTCGGTTAGGAAGAAAAAGCTGAAGAAGAATGGTTATGACATAGTTCATCCAAATAGAACGACTTCTCATATGTTTGAAAGTGTGATTAACCAAAGACATGATAAGATGATTGGTGAAGAAAAAGATGATGTGTTAAAGTCTAGCCGCAAGAGACATGATTATATAATTGTTGATAAGTCTGATTTAGCTTCCAGTGGAAGTATAAGTGTTGTTTCACTCGGGTTTGGGTCTATAAGAAGTTATCACGATGAAGATTACCATGGAACGATCTTGAGAAAGCATGATGGTGATAAGGATGTGACAGACATCCCGTATGACATGTTGAAAGAGCCTCAAGTGCATAAGGTGAATAAAAATCATGTACATGAAGATTCTGAGGTTGATAGTGCCATAACTAATGGTGATGTTGTTAACAACCATGATCATGCATTAGAAGATGTGAAGACTCTAAGTGAAGGTGTGAATGAGATTCATTTTACTACTAATGGCAAGGAGTATAAATTGATTTCAAATGATATGACTACCTAAATTAATGAAAATGTTGACTTTATTGGGCTGATGGATGAGAATGTATATCTCTCAATAGGTACTTGAATATGGAAACTGAAGACCTTCCTTGTGCCAACAGAATGAATATAACTCACGAAGGAGATCATGTAGTTAAGGTAAATGACAATATCGATAATGATGTATGTGCTCATAAAGAATATATCTCTATGAACAATGGAGTTTATACTGAGTTTGTACAAGTTATTGAAGATGTTGATTCTTGCATACATGTGCTGAAAAGAAAGGATTTAGAGTATATAACTACTAAAAGAGAGACTGCAAAATAAGCTCTGACAAGTTAAGAAAGTGATCATGTGGAAGACAATGAGAAAGTGATAATTCTCATTCTTGGAGAATACATTGTTCTAGGTAGAATATCAGTCGAGGTCTTAGAAAGTTTTATTCAAAAAATGCTCAAAGAGGGAAATGAAGATGTATTTCGACATGTGTCATACATTGTGAGCAATATAGCGGTAAGTAAAGTTCCATCTCAGAGGGAGGATGAGCAAGTTGCTGAAGAAAATGCCTTGGTCCTTGTGTTTATACTAAATGGAAAAAATTTCCCCATAAATAATGAGGAAATAATGCTAAAAGGGATATGTTTGTATCACAGAAGGATATGTCTGGAAAGGAAGTTGTAAATAGAAGTCTTGATACACTACTATAAAAAACATATCTAACATTAGATGTGAAATGCCTTTGACCGCGCCTACGGAAGCGAGGTAACAAAGGGCGACATGAAAAGCTATCAATTTACACCTTGGTTATTGAATAACCAGGGAACAAAGTATCATTGGACATAGGTTCGATCCCCAACAACTGCTTTTTTTTTCATTTTCAAAACTCCGTTATTTTTTACCTCGGTTTTTAACAATAACCGATGGGTAAAGTCCTATTTACAAAAAAGAAATTTGACTTCTTTTTTCGTTTTAATCTGCAAAACATTAAATTTGTTGAAAAATTCTAAATCTTCCTCATCAACAACAACAACAATAAGAACAACAAAAACAAAATCAATTGAATCCTTAAACATCAAATTTCAACAACAAAAACAACAACAACAACAACAACAACAAAAAAACAAAAGCCATGGATTCTTTAAACATTAAATCTCAACAACAACAACAAAAAACAAAACCAATAGAATTGTTAAATACTAAATTTCAATATTAATAACAACTAGAACAACAACAATATTAACCATTTTACTTGATACAACTAAAACTAACATTGATAAGTTACTTTCATGCTTTCCTAACGAGAGAAAAGATTAAAAATTAACAAACCAACCTTGAAATATTTTCTTGCTCTTGCTTTCATTGGCATTGTTTTCAATATATTAAGTTTAAAATTCAGCACTTTGCATCCAAGATGTGGCATTCACGTTTTGATTGGCTAGTCAGAGTTTCACCCAGATCACTAATGTTTCATGTGGATTAATGAGTTAGAAATATCTTGATCATTGTTACTTTATAAATGGCCGTCAAAGATTCGTTACTTAATTTTTTTTATCAAATGGATCATAAATAAAAAACAAAAAAATACGCTACTTTACCCCTCAGTTTTCAGCAAAACCAAAGTAATAGCTCATAATTTTTTTAGAAAATTTAAAAGGTGATAAAATATAGTTGCTGAGATTCCAAGGCATGTCTCTCTATCTACTTTACCCCTCGATTTTTAGCAAAACCGAGGTAATAGGTCATAAATTTTTTTTTTATAAAAATTATAAGGTGATAAAATATAGTTGTTGAGATTTGAAGATGTGTCATCTAAATACTTTACCCCTCAGTTTTTAGTAAAACGGAGATAATAATTCATAAAAAAAGTTTTAAAGAAATGTAAAAGATGTTAAAATGTATGTGCTGGGATTTAAAGGTGTGTCCTCTAAATACTTTACCCCCAGTTTTCAGTAAAACTGAGGGAAGATATGGTATTTTTTATGATAAAAAAATATGACGCGTCTATGGTTTATACTTCAGTTTTTTTTAAGTGAGGTAAAAGTTTCATCATAAAAAGCTTTATTTATAGTAGTGATATTTGAAGAAGTGGTACAATTATTGAAAGTAATATGTGTAACAGACACGAAGAACCTCATGATGAGTAACACTAATGTCAGTTTAGATAATAGGAAAATCTCTTTGAATAAATTCCTTCCTCCTATTAACAACATCGTATCTAGGATAAGCAAGGAGCAAGTATGTGTAATCTTGATATCTTTTGCAGGCAGCAATGGAAAAGAGTTGATTTGGATGAGTCAGATGTTAAAGGAGTATAATGTGGGACAAGATATCATGACATTGATCTGGCACATTCTCACTAAAGCTTTGGATGGAAATCAAGTTAAAATACTAAGGTGTGTCCTTGGTATTTGCATCTTTCTGAGTCCATAACAACCAATGATGAGGAGTTGTGTCAAAAGAGAAAATGTGGTTCTCTCCCCTAAGACCACTTTGGAACACAAAATAAGGAATTTTCTTAGTTATATAAGGTGACGTATAATTGGGCTGGAATTATAAGCAAGAAATACAAATATCTTACCTTATCCTACTCTTATATCATAGATCCTTCTCTCAATATGAATCAAAATCAAGTCGGTGGGAGCAAACATATCTAAGAGATTGAGGCTTCAAAGGAGATTATTGATATGCTAGAGTTATGGTTAAGCAAAGCCAATAAACTTGAAGAGGTTAGGGATAAAATCACACTTGTTGAACTGCTTGATGGAACATGCACTAAGAAGATTCTAATTAAGAACTGAACCCTGAAAATATAAGGAAGATAAAGGATATTGTGAAGGACCTAATGAATATGGATGCAAATGATTCTAAATGAGATGAAATCCTTGAGAACTGCATGGATTTACTCAGGTATGAAGAGTGAAGACATTTTGGTTAAAGGGAGCTTCTAATCCCGGTGGTTAAAGAAATAATTTTGTTTGTTGGCCCTTGTATTTTAGGCATGTTTCTCTTTCTATTCTGCAAGGGCTCTATAGCCTCTTAAGAATGGGTTTTGTAATAATGCCTGTGCATCTATTGATGCTAATCTGGTGGTGACTTTTCTCATGTTCTGGTTGTGTATACTAACATACTAACCTTGCATGACTGACCTTGTGCATGATATTCTCTATGCATGTTGACTTCTTTGAAGAGATAACCCTTTGCCAAGTTATGGAAAAAAGGCGAGTAATGGTGAGAATTGGTGCACCTGCTATGTGCAGATAAACCTGATGAGTGTTTAGTACTGACTGTTCAGGAGGTACTAATATTGTGCTCCATGTTGGAGCATCGTGCAAAACATAAGACCACGTATTTGTATAAGTAGATCTGAGTGTTAGTTTACTTGTTTTAGTAGATTTTATATATCCTAATTATTAACTACTAATTGTTTGTGTTGTGCATGACTAAGTTAGTGAATGATTTTATGCTAATAGTTATTAGTTAGGAGGATTGTGTGCTACTAACTATGTGCTAACTAAGTTCATGCATGACTAAGTCTATGAATGATTGCATGATGATTGTGTTTTTATTTGGTTTGGAGCAATTGAATGGATTATGTGTAAGCATTTAAATTTTCATATTTGATGCTACTGTCTTTTGTAGCTACTACCGTGCTTAACTCTGATAAATTGGAAGAATGCAGTTGTTGCTGACCGAATGCTCAAATGAAGTCTATTGATTCTGCTAGTTGTCACTTGTTATGATATGAACAAAGTGTTATACCTTGAAAATTTTGTTGCCAAAATTTTTTAAAGGGGGAGATTGAAGTTCTTTGTGAAATGGTCATTTAGATTGGCTGCATTTTTGCAAAACAATAACATGGAGAAGTGTTCAAAGTATTCAAGTTGATATGGCTTGTTTAAATTGTATGGAGTTGCAGAAGGGACACATGTTGGACACAATGTCTCAGTATGTGGTATGATATTTAGGCCTTGCGCGACAAGGCATTATTGCTGCATTTTGAAGATTCTCTGGTCTAAGATTAAATCAGATTTTATTGTTATTGATTTAACAATATGATTAGGTGATTTGTTTGACAGTTGAATGAAGATTAATTCAGATTTAAATTTGAATTTAAATTGAAACAAATCATATATTATTATAGAGACTTAAGGAACAAATAATATCCAACAAATTCTACATCAATTCTGGACAAAATCAAATCAAATATGCACGAAGAAAAATAAAACAAATTTTATTGTTTTAAATCTTAAAACTAAAAAAAAAATTTACAAAACCATATCAACAAAACCCTTGTTGTTGTTGTTGTTATTGTTGAGATAAATAAAATGTTTGTTGTTTTTGATGTTATTGAAGTTGAATGTTTTATGTTGTTGTTTTTATTGAGATTGAAGATTATAAGTTGTTGTTAAGATTGAAGGTTTAATATGTGTAATTTAATATAGGTGTAGATTTATTACAATATAACTTAGCAATGTTTTGATTATGTGACTTATCAAAGTTTTGATATTCGCAAAATTTTCGTTCAAAATGCACGGTTTTACAAAGATTGTAATTTTATTTTTGAAAAGTATTTATAGATCGTAGTTGGATGAAAGTTAATAGATTAATCTACAATGCGTGCATGAATGATTATAGTGAATTGATATTCAATTTTTTCCTAGTTGAAATTTTGATTTAAAGTCAAATTGATGGTGATGCAATTTTAGACTACAAATTCAAAGAGGTATTGTGCTAGGCCTAATCATGGTTATGTTGCCTAGTCTATTTTATGTGACTTAGTAATATATATTTTATATAACTTTCTAATTAGCGTGCAATATTTAAATTGTGTTCAATATATGGAGGTGGAGGGGATCTAATATGTTGAAAGGACTTAGAAAAAAACCCAAAATTTATATCTAAAAAATTGTGACAATCATTTATCTATAATTACATATGCTTTTGTATGCCTTATTACTCATTATATAAAATATATTTGTAGATAAGGGAACATTCAGGAAGATGCGAGTGCGGATATTA